ACTGCCCACTGGAGTCCTAAGAACTAAGGCCAGAGGCCACATCTCTCTTTGCTCCATCCATGTGAGCCTGCTGGTATTGTAGCTTGCTTCCCAAGAAAGAAATGGAGGGAACAGGATTTGACCAAGGTCACTAGGTCATCCAAGACCAGCCCTGTGTCTAAGGAGACCAGCGCCCATCTCCTCTTTCCTCAGCCGTTTCTTGTGAATGGCAAACATCATGTGGCCACTGATCTTAGCAATCAGGAAGGGGCAGTGTCAGGTAGAAGTTTCTAGGGCTGGGAGCCCAGCTCCCCTGAAGCTACACTCTGGTTTTACTATGAGACCTCTCCAGAGGCTCAGTGCCTCATATGGAAAATAGAAGCAAGAGAAGTAACCCTGTGATTTGTGGACAATCAGGAGTGTTCAGGTTCACTGTAGGCCTGCCACTTGGTGGGCACTCATTATTTCTGTCATTTTAAGGGAAAACTGAATCTACACAGAATCATTTGTGGAGCACTGAAAAACACTGATGCCCTGTGGCGCCTTTATAGAATCTGAAGCACTGGGTTGAGATAGAGCTTTTAAACTTGCAACCAGGGCTAAAAAGCATGGCAAAGGGGTAAAGGCAAAGTATCTGGAGAGGTCCTGGCCCCTGGGATGATGGGTGGGACCTGACGTGAGGGGTGGCAGTAGTTACACAGGTGTGGCTGGAGGTCCTGCAGTCCCGGCCAGGCCTCTCTACTGTTTCTACTTGTGGAGAGCTGGAAGGCAAAAGGACTTTCTGGGGCAGGGTTCCAACCTCCTCACTGATGTCTTCAAGAACCTGCTCTAGCCGGGCCTCACTTTAGCTTGGCCCTGGAGTTCCCATTCTCTGGGAACCAAGCTTGCTAAGCCACAATGCTGTTGACCTTGTCTCAGAGAGAAGGCTCAGTATTCTTTCTAGGGGCTGTCTTTACCTCCTCCAAGGCCACAACCCCTCCCATGGCACAGCAAAGGTGAGCTGCACAGCAAAGGTGGCAGCGATAGTGCTGCAGGTGGCACTACCTTCAAGGATATGCTACATGCTGTGGCACTTAAAAATGATAGACTCCAGCAGGGAGGGTGCTGGTCTGTATTTTATTTTATTTTTATTGATTTATTTATTTATTTAGTCTTCTTCGTTTTTATCGGTACCAGGGATCGAACTCAGGACTGCCTGCTTGCAAGGCAGGCACTTGAGCTAAATCCCCAGGCCCCTGTATTTTATTTTTTATTTTTTGAGATGAGGCCTTGCTATGGACTGAAGTGATCCTGTATCACAGCCTCTTAGGTAGCTAGGACTACTAGTGTACGGCACTGTACCTGGCTGTTGTATCTCTCTTTACATAGGGAAAACTGGGGCCTGGGAAGAGACTGGTCTGAGAGCTCCGCCAGGGCAGGAACAAGGCTGTCCTTCACTGCTGCACCCTAGCACAGTGCCTGTTACACAGTAGGTCAGTGGTGAATGCTGCTGACTAGATGGAGGGAGGAACACAACAATGAAGAGATAACCTTTCTGAGAAAGGGGCCATGCGCCAAGATTCTAGCAGGGTGGACACAAACGTGCTGATTTGTGTCCACCTCTGCCCACAGTGTGCCATAAGAATTTGAGGACCTTCTTTTTCTCCTGTAATTCCAGACCCTGTGAGAGCAAGCCCTGGCTCAGAGGTCTACCTTCTTGGGTAGGGGAAGTGCCAAACAGTTCCCTTCCATTCTTCTTCTTCTTCTTCTTTTTTTTTTTTTTTTGGTCTTTTTCCTTTTTATCGGTACCGGGGATCGGACTCATGACTGCCCGCTTGCAAGGCAGGCGCTTATGCTGCTGAGCTAAAACCCCAGCCCCCAAAAGTTCCCTTCCATGTGGCCAAGGCTGACTGCCAAGGAGGCCTAGGGATGGTGCTCATCTGTGTGGCAAGGCCCTGATCTGGCCTGCTGGTACCTGAGTCTTGGCCCCGGAAACTGCCCTCAGCTGGTTGGAGAAACATCTGATCATCCTTGATTAGAGGAAACAATGAACTTCTGCCCTGTATTGCTTAGCTCTCTCTTTGCAAGCCCCAAATTAAAATTCCAGACCAGAATAAGGGATTTAAATTGGATTACTGGATGGGGTCCAGGGAGACAGGAACAATGGAGTGGGGGATGGGGTCCAGCCCCTAGCACCCCTTGCTCCACATGTACTCGGGCTTCAAACACACATGGAAAAGAAAAAAGGGACCACAACTTGATTAAAAGCAAATTTAAAGCATAATGAAGATCAAAGCTCACTTTGAACAATTAGACCCAAGGAGGGGGAGGGTAGTTCTCTCTTCTTCTGAGGGAAAAGGCAGTACAGCCTTATGGGCCAGGAGCCAGGGCATACCACTGCAGGAGGGGTCAGTGGATGCTCCTGGAGTAATGTGGGGAATCAAGGCCTGGCTCAGGGTTAGACAGACCTAGCTCTGCCATACCCTGTCTTGACACATGGTATCATCAACTTGCAGTTTTCCCCTCCGTGAAATGGGTTAGCAGGGCCTCCCTCTCAAGGTTGCTGTGAGAACAACTCATGACAGACTCAGCATATGGTGATCATTGTGCCTTTTTCCATCAAAAACCACTAAATGCTGACTATGTACCAGACCATGGGTTGGGCTGCAGATGCATAGGAAGAAGACAGACATTTGCCTGCCTTGCAGGGTGCGGAAGCTAGTCAAGACCAGGACTTCAGGCCTCTGGCTGCACCTGGCCCCCCACACCAAGTTATCAGGGTTAATTATTCTCCTTGCATTGGGTTAAAAGACTGGGGAAAGACTCCAGCTCATGGTTCCTGAAGAGGATTGCAGGAGGCTGGGCCCTGGGCTCCCTGTATGCAGGGATAGTGATTTGTCACTCAGAAGCCTTCTGCCAAAACAACCTGTCCTGAAGCCCAGGAGCAGCAGGCCCATGGCCTGAAGGATGCTCCTTCCTGCACATATGAGAGTCTTGCAGCCCAAATTTGGTTGCAGCAGGGAGGCTGAACTCTGTAAACTGGGCATGGGGCAGCAAAGCTAGGAGGCAGCATGCAAGTCTTGATAGATAGGGAGATAGAGGATAAGAGAAAGGAGGGTCTCCTGGGGCAATAGGGGGGAATGTGCTGTCTATGTGGGGCTGTCAGACTTGGCTTGGCCTCCTCTCAGTGTAGTTTGTTTCTCCAACTCTCTCCCCACTCCTATGATGAGATCCTGAAGGGTGGAGGGGCTGGCACCTCTGGGTCCATATTGGATCGGAGGCCCCCGGAGTCTACCTTCTCTGAATTCCTGGTCATAGAAGGCCAGCCTCTCCCCTTCCACCACCCTAGATCACACAGAGACAGGCAGCAGACCCCATGAGCAACAGCAGAACCCTGCTTCCCAGAGAAGGAGACTCCAGTGTCTTGGGGCCTGAATATGGCCTGGAATGGGGTGGCAGCATGACATGACCCTAGCTAAACTGTGGCCTGGGCCTGGATATGGCATACATGGAGCCACTCATTTAAAAAAAAAACAACAACTGACTTATTGAGATATAATTCACACATTTCCAAATTCACTCACATAAAACATACAATTCAGTGACTGCTAGTGTACTCAGAGTTGTACAACAGCCATCACAATCTAATTTTATAATATTTTCATCATCACAAAAGAAATCCTGTACCTGTCATTCGAAATCCCCTCATCCTCTTTCCTCCAGCCCTGGGTAACCACAAATTTACTTTCCATTTTTGTGGATTTGCCTGTTCTGGACATTTCATACAGATGAGATCACACTATATGTGACCTTTTGTCAAGTCTATAGTCCTCCAGTCTGCCAGCTGAGCTATTGAAGGGTATGTGGCCTTTTATCACGGGTTTCCTTCACTTGATACAATGTTTTTGAGTCATTCATGTTGTAGAAATTATCAAGACTTTTTTTTTTTTTTTTTTGTATTAGACTTAGCTTGGATAAAGGGCTCAGCTTTGACATAGGCTAGGGCGGTCACTGGTGTGCTTCTAACCCAACAGCTTTTTTTTTTCTACTTTTTTTTTAAATTTTATTTAAGGAGAAAAAGGAAAAAAAAAGCAGAGAAAGGGTACAAGTTATACAGATTTACAGAAAAAAAATAAACAGTAGGAAATCACTAGTTAATGGATTACATATTGTCATCTTAGAAATAGTTGTTCAAGTTACAAAATTAAAGCTTATAAAGTGGACATTCCAACAGTGAGACTGCAAACATTTCTGTTCAATGATCCAACAAAACTCAGTAATATCATTATCTATCTTATGCACTTAAATATACATGCAGTTATATCGTTTAGAGCACTTTCTTTTCCTCTCTTTTGTACAATGACAATTACACATTTTGTAACCCAACAGCTTTAAGGCCTCTTGCGTATTTATGCTTGACCCAGCTCCAGCTCTAGCTTTCTCCGGGGTAGGCTGAGTAGCAAAGATCCATCGGCTTTGTCACCATATCTTGGCAGGTTCTGCATCCTATAAAACCTTTGCATCCTATAAAACCTTTGAGCTGACAGGTACAACAGATACAACCTCTCTGGATGTCTAGATGGAGAGACTAGAGTTGCCAGAGCAGGGGCTCCAGCCTCCAGCCTTTCATGTCATAGCCTTCTCTGTGGGGCACCCAGGGTCATCCCCCAATTAGAGCCTGAAGCCCACCACAGAGGTAGAGATTCCACTATCAAGAGGGCATTGTCCTGGCCAGGTGCTCACCCAGAGCACAATGCACAGCTAGAGGAGACCCAGGAGGAGTGGGAGGACCCCAGGCCGACAGCACAGAGGGGCAGAATTGCCTTGTCTGAGACTCCAGGTCCTCCTTCACGTAGCAGACTCCTGATAGATGGTCTTGCTCCTGCCACCATCCATAGGTATAGCCTTGTTGATGACTGCCCCACCTAAATTCAGAGGGCCTTGGCTGTGCAATGACAGAGTTAAGACGCTGCCTCACTCATAGTCAGGGCTACTCATTTGCTCTCCTTTAATAGCCCCTCCTTGCTAATACATCTGCTTACCTTCAGGGCCTGCACCTTTCTGTCCAATAGGCTCTCAATGTCCCCTGCTACCTTCTCCACCAGCTTCTGAGGCTCATTCTCCTGTACCTCAAACAGGTTCCGGTTGTCCTTATAGATCTGGAAGGAAGCAGAGACTGGAGGTGAGGCCAGAGAAATCTCACATTCCCATGCCAGGGCCTGACAGTCTCTTTACACAGCTTAACTAGGCTCAGCCTTCACTCCCCTCACCTCCCCACTGCTCAAAGAGCACTGGGTCCAGTGGCCTTGTTGTTGGTCTATGGGAGAGGCAAGGGTGGGGCTTCATAGTTTTCATGGCATGAGGGCGTAGTGTTGACCTATTGATGGTCAGAAGTTGTTGGTGATGGTTCACACTGTCACCAGCTTCGCTGGACCTCAGGGTCCTCCCTTCAAGGACCAGAAGCACCACCTACCAACCTGTTTAAAGTGAAATAGTTAGAGGGAAGAGTGAGCTGGGTGGGAGGCAAGAGACGCAGTGTGAGTACTGGGGGAAAGTGGAGCTGATCAGCACACATCACACAGTCATATCTCAGCGTGTGGAAGCTCTGACACCCACGTGAATACACACACATACACACTAACACATGCATGCTCACACACAGCCATCTCTCTACATAGCCCCAGGTATCTGCACCCCATTTGCTGGTGATGCCCCAGGGCACTGCACAAACTGTACCTGAGTTGTGAGTACCCTGGGGGTCTCCTCTGTCATTCAGGGCATAGAATATGGGGGAAGGGACCCAGGAAGAGGGAGTGGGTGGTGGGGAATGAGTCTGCCAATCCCTCCCCCTCAGAGGGTGGTGTTGTGTGCATGCACATGCTGCAGTGTAAATCTGATGGGGTGTGTATTTGTGATACTACTCAACACAGCCATTGTATGCACACATGAGTATGTAGGAGATGGGGTTAGGCCCTCTAGACTTGGCCTGGGAGTTGTATGTGTCTTAGAAGCAGATTTCTTCAGTTATCTTTGTTTATAGCTGAGGCCAATGGGTGTGTGTGTGTGTGTGTGTGTGTGTTGTATACTTCTATGTATATCTCCAAAACTGACCAGGTCTTCTGTGTATCTATTCAAGTGACCTCAGGAGTCTGTGCCCCAAGGTGGCTCTTTTACCAGAGGTCACAGCCTGAGCTGTCACTACAGAGCCTTGTCACCAGGCTGTGCCAGGCTGCTGTTGAAGTGGAGGGCTGTGGACACAGAGAGGAGATGATGAGCAGAGATAATGAGGTGACAGAGGCAGCTGATGAGAGACAGACTGGCAGGGAGAGATAAGGTCAGCAGAGTGACAGAAGATGGTGGAGATAAGGCTTCTGTCATCTGACAAGGGGGATGGGCTGGGCTGGGGCTGATCTGCCAAAGCTCCTGCTCTGCCTGCACCCAGCACCTGGCATTCCAAGGGTTAAAACACTGGGTTAAAAAGCTGGCTCCGGCAATCTTCTTCCCCACCACCCTCCACCCCTCCCAGTTTCTCTTTCTTTTTGTCCTTCTCTTAGAACAAAATAATTTGTGGCAAAGTTGCTCCTTCCTGCAGAGCACTGGCAATTAAGGGACAAGTTGCAGGCCTGGCTCCATGGCCAGGAAGGACAGAACCCGAGTGCACACTGGAGCAGGCTATTCCCAGGCCTCAGGCCCTGCCTCAATCCAGAGGCCCTCAGAAGGAGGACAATGGAGCGGGAGAAGCGAGGGTGGAGCCTGGGGATGGTAGAAAAACACAGGGAATCTGTGCCTTGTGTTAAGGAAACTGAGGCTCAGAGACAGGACAGGTCAAGGCCATATGACTGAGAGGCAAAGACTAATGCTGAGACTAATCTTGAGCCATCCTTCCTGAGTTTAGGAACATTAAAATAACCTCCTTCCTGGGAAAGAGTTATGGCCATTGTGCAGAGCAGCAGTCCAGCTCTTTGTGCCAGCAGGGGGCGCAGCTGCCTGGCTTCCTCAGGGAGGGGGAAGTTCTTATACTTCAGGCTGCCCTGTCAAGGTCATTCCCCGGATCCGAAGGTGGACTACGTGGGTCTCCTGAAATTTCTCCCAGGGCCTGAGATGTCTCTTGCAGTCTGGCATGATGACTGGGTTGGGTCTTGGGGCCTGGAGAAACAGCAGATCTCCAGGTCTAAGAGTTATATCTCAGGGCCTCAGACAGGTGACACTCTTGGAAGCTGAGACTCTGCCAAAAGTCACCCACTCTCAACCCTCAGAGTCAAACACATTAAAAGGGAATGGCAATCCTCACCTTATAGGCCAACCAAGGACAATTCAATGCACACCTTGAGGACCATGTACTATTGCCACTATTGCCACTGCTATTGTTTAGGATCACTACAATTCTTAACAAGAAATCAGAGTCCCCTCCCTGCCCCCACTTTCTTGCTACTCCTGCACACTCAGAGCTGTCTAAAGACATCTGCTTCCATTCCTGAGTTGGCAGCGTCACTCTCCTGGGGTCTGCCCACCCGCAGCCCCAGTTCCTCCTCTTTGATCCCTTCCCTAGCCATCCTCTCCATGTCCCCAACATCTCAGCTTCAGCCCTGAGGCTATAAGAGGAGAGTCTAGACAACAGGACGCCACTGCTTGGTGCGGCTGTGGCCAGCTTCTTTCCATCTCTTCTCAAGCACCATGTCAGTGTGCAAAGGACACTTGGCAGAGGCATCTGCCCAGTTCCACACTGAGCATAGCTGTGGTGCCCTGCCTGATTCCTCCTCCATTTCTGCCTTTGGCCGTGAGACCTCGGTGCCGAGGGTGCCTCAGCCATACTTTTTCCTGTTGTATTTCTACCTGGGGATCTACCAAGGTGCCCTTCTTTGGCACTTGGTGCCTCTTTGGTCACTGACTCATCATGGGCCTGCAGACCTTGGGTCACCAGCCCATGCTGTTCCCACTGCCACACATTTGTTCATGTTGTTCCTATTTCCCTGCCTATGTAAATCTTCTTTAGAGTCAGGGCAGGGAAATGAGTTGAAAGGGGTTTCTTAGGAGATGAAGGCAGAATTTCAGAATGGCAGGAGCTTGTCAAACTGTCCGCCAAGCCTGAGATTCAAAAATCTCTAAATGGCAGGTCCCTTGTACCTTGCTCTCTCCTCTGCATTTCCCTGGATCAGTCCAGTTGTCCCAGAAGTCTAAAGGCATCCTCTCCTATTCCTCAGCATGAGCCCTGAGCTGAGGCCCATGGAGATCCAATCAACACAGCCCAGCAGATGGCCCCACCCCAGGAGATAGATCATCTCCACATTGATGTAGCCTAGGGAAGTGCTTCCTGTAGGAGCCCAGGAGAGCTCCCAGAGTAACCCAGATCCTGGTAACCCAAGGTAACCCAGGCTTAGTTCCCCAAGAGCTCCAGCCCTCAACCTTGGCCCCTGGGGCCAGCTGCAAAGTGGCAGAAAGGCCAGGGCACAGCAGTGCAGGGCCTCAGTAACCATGCAGGACCACATGCCCACCAGAGTACTTGGCCCAGGGAGTTCACTGGAAAAGGCTAACAGTTCCCCTAGCAGTACAGCCTGAGAGAACCCCATCTATGCCCTGGCAGCCAGTTGGAGAGAACAATGAGGCCTACAGTCTGTTGCTCCAAGCCAGCTGTGGCTGGGGAGAGAATCTAGAGTGGAAGAATGGTGGTGGGACAGGGCAATAGATAAGGCCAGGTGGGCATTTGGAAGCTGGCAGGAGATGACATCAGTGGAACTGAGAAACAGGGAATACAAGGGTAGCAGAGAGACACTTGGGCAGTTGTTTGGAGTTGTCATTCCCAGGAGTCCCTGGCTCCTCTATCTTGTACCATGTACCATGTACCTTGTAACATGTACCATGTACCATGTACTATGGTCATACCTGGGATGTCCTCTTCCCTTGAAGGCACCCCACCCTGTTATAGAGAAATGGCCCTCCATATTGCCCCTCTTCCCATTGCTAGCTCCCATGTAAGCCCTCCCTCAGCTCTACCAACTCTTATGATCTAGGGGTCTGCAGACCTTTGGGGGCCAAAGGTTTTTTAGGGACTCCAAACCCTCTCTCTTTCTAGCCTCTTGCTTCCCTGGTGGCTCCATATAAACAAGACATGAGCCTGGAAGATGTTTGGAGGAACTGTGACCTTGTACAGGAAGTCGGGAGACCTACAGGAAAGAAGGATCCTGCCACATCCCCACAAAGCCCACAAGTCCTGACTGGGAGAGGGGGTCAAGCATCTGTCAGCCTGTAGACATTAGGATCACAGAGACAGACACCAAAGAAGACAAAAGACCTCAATACCAGTGACATGACAGATCAGATCAGAGGGCATTTTACAAAGTCCCAGAAAACCAGCAGCAGCGGGGTCTGTACCTAAACCAGCACCCATCCTGCCCAAGGAGAGGGAAGACAGGGAGAGGTAGGGAGAAGGTAATACAGACTACAGAAGCTGCAGGAGCAAACAACCCATTTATTGTGGAGTAATTGGCTGTGGCCACACTTGACTTCACTAGTCCCTGACAATCCTTGAAGAGGGTCCATTTTGGTTATCAGTTAGCAGGTAGGACACTGAAGACCTACCGAAGTCCCAGGAAAGGGCTGGAGTCCAAATGGGGCCTATATGATCCAAGCCCTTGCCTTAGGCCATATTCAGGAGTTCTGTTCCCTGCACTTATGAACCAGGGTTCAGCTGATTTGGAAGGCGCTTGGGTTGGGTACAGACTGATGCTGAAGGACAAGTGGCAGGTGAAGGTCCTTCTGCAGGGAAAGAGGTGGAGGCCTGGTAGGAACTAACCCACCACCCGGTGCTGGAAGTGAAAGCCAACACACACTCAAGGCTCTCTTTGCAGCGAAGGTGAACGGGTCCTAATCTCTGGAAAATTAAATCAGAAAGAAAACAGAATGAGAAAGATTTGATGCAGGCTCAACCTTGCCGCTGTGTATCTCCTCAAAGGCTCAGGCTCAGTCTGGTTCTCAGCCAGGTACTCCAGCATTCCAGCCCCTATTCTGACCCCCCTACATGATGCGCTGCTCTCCACATGCCCTCTCACCACATCTCCTGGTGTCTGGTTCCTTGTCCCATGAGAAGCAGTCAGGTGGGCATCTGAACTGCCCAGTCCTTTAGGCCAACAGGCCCGAAAAAGGAGGGCAGTGAGTAGACCAG